GCAGGATGAGACGAGGGAGCAACAATGCCTCAGTATGCACAGTGTTCTGTGTTGTGCCCCAGAACCTCTCTAGACCTTCAGTGCTGTCTGTCCTGTGAGTTGTCTTCTCCAAACTGCATCCCTTTCATCCCACAGCACTGGAGACAGAGTAATGAGAGTCATCAATCCAATTGGTGTTACTACATCTCCCTCCTTCCTTCACCTGTAGTCAGTCAGTGCCGCCGCTCATCATGAAAAAAAGGAGTTGACAAGCATGTGGATGGCACTGGACTGAGAGGAGAGGGATAAAAGGATCTTTTGGATCCTTCTTAGATTGAAGTGGTGTTTTAAAGCTGGGGAAGCGCAGTGCAGAACAGAAACAGCATTACTACAAAGGCAGAACCTAAAGCATTGTTTGCCCAGCTTTGGAAGAGGAGAAAGCCAAGGAGGCAGGGGTGCAGAGTAGGCTATGGAAGACAGGGGGTAAGAATGGAGGCTCAGGAAAGGAGGAGGTGGCAACTATAATACTTACCTTTTAAAATTTGGGACCACTTGTAAGGTTTGAACAACTTGATCTATAAAGATATCCCTGCCTATAGCAGTGGGTGAAACTACATGATCTTTAAAGATCCCTTCCAATCAAAATCATTCTATGGTTCTAGCCAAGGTAAATTAGTGCAGGTAAAAATTCATTCCTGGCTCTGAGCTTTGCACAGCCAAGAGTTTGATGACAATTTAACCTGAATATTCATATATAATAGCCCTGATGACAGCAATAACCAAACCACAAGTGTTTTAAAATCACAGGCAGCCATTGCAACAAGCAGAAGAGCGTGCAATGACTCACTAACACCATCTAGTACTTTTGCTTCAGCATTGTTCTGTGTGGTAATGCTACACAGAAAAAGTTGTTACAAGGCTTGACTTCATTCTTCATTTTGCATACATTTATGGATGCTGCTTTTCCTAAGGCTTTTTAGTACATACATTTTTCCCTGGGTGTAGGTACTTAGAGCAGAAAAAGTTGGATGCTGTTGCTGGCAATATTGATGAAATGGCATGTCTTCATTAGTGTGTCCTCATATCAGGCTGTTATGTCCTCATACTTGAAACCAAAACCTGAGGATAAAGGTGCTCTGACTCTTACTTCTTTACAATAATATATGAAGAAAGAAAAAGCTTCCTCTTTGTCTTTGGATCACCTATTTTTTGTCAGCTATTACTAAGCAACTGTAAATATTTTCTTTGTATTTAATGCTAGGTTGTTCTATTTAGCCAGTTTGTTGTGTTGTTTAGTCTTTTTCTAAGTATACCTGATCAAAGCTATCTCCCATTTTTGAGGAGACTGTCCCAGTCTTGTTTCTGTAATTCTTAGAGGGACATGATATCTCATCAGATCTCTGCCCTGATATCTGCACCTACCCCATTTCCTGGAAAGGAATAGTCTGGCAGCAGACAGGAAGTAGATGAGAACAGCTGGGCAATGGAAAAAAATGAAATATTGAATGGAGCCATGACCATCATCTCTTTTTTTCAACAGCCTCAGGCTGAGCATACAATTTCAGGTGCTCTTAGAGATCTCAACAGTTCTCAAGGGATTATTAAGCCAATTGTTTTATGCAGGCTGAAAAAGAGTGCTTAATACTGAAAAGAGAAAAGAAAAATGTAAACCAAAAAATCTGGAAAATGAGTGAGATTGTATTATTTGTAAATGAGGATTTAAAATTCAAAACAGCAAATAAAATCTCAAGATAGACTGTTAACCATAATGCTCCTTCTATGGTTACTACTACTCTTCCTTTTGCTCTTCTGCCTTTTATCCTTCTTCCTTTTGGTCTTCTGCCATTTCTTATTATTCCTTTACTGGATCACATGAGCAGTATTTCCTACCCATGACTTGAAGTTCTGATCAATGCAGTATGATTCATGTGGGGTGCTACAGGGTTTAGATCTTTTTCCCCAGGACATAAGTAACCAAAGGGCTAGGAAATCTACTGTATGAGCAATGCCTAAATATCAGCCAGCAGTGTGCCTCAGGTGGCCAAGAAGGCAAATGGCATCAGCCGTATTGTTCAGACTGTGCTTTTGCCAAGAAGGGTTGGACTGAATGACCCTTGAGGCCCTTTCCATCCTGTGTTCTGTGATTCTATAATAAGTGTCCATGAGCAAATTTCCAGTTCTTGGAATAAATTACATACTTAAATACATCCTTGAACATTTTAGATGAATCAGAATTGGCAATATTTTAAATCTCTTCTCATGTTTACAGCCTGTATGCTTCAAGTTTTTGGTACATTTTCTGATTTCTGCCATTCAGAAATTATGTAGATATATTTTTCTTCTTTTACTCTTGATACTTAGTTTCTTAATGCTAGCCTTGAGTCACTGAATGCAGATCACCAAAATTGCTTAATTAATGTGAGAAAGACTAAGATTTTACAGGATAATAATGATAAAATTTTAAACATTTTTATTATATTAATTAAATTAAACTTATTACTCAGAGAGGTACACTTTGTCTTTCTCTGAGTGTTACTGAGTGGCAGCCATATAGATAGTGTAATATATGACATGAACACCAGTTCCATTTTTTGACCCTAATTTCAAAGCAATAATAATCTGAATTGTTCAAAAGTAATTGTAGTCAGTTGTAAGTAAATTATAGAATAACAACAAATAGCTTTAGTAACTGATTTCACTATATGGACTGTTTCTTCTTAATATAGAAAAGTATCAATGAAATCATGTATTTCATAGTACCTTAACTGATTACCTTAATTCTCTGTGGAAGTGTTAATTGTCTTTGAGTTTTGTAACCTCATAACTGGAGATGTTAATCCTATCCTCTTTTTTCTCTTTTGACTAATAAAGTAACATGTAGCTGGGTCAGGTCCTGGAATAAACTAATACTCAGCTCTTTTATTTACTGTGAATGAATCTGTAATTTCCCCAGGCTGACTGTCACAGATTCCTTGTTCAGCTGTATTGCTAAATTATTGCATTCTTCATTGTTTTGGCCAACTTTCAGTCTGCAGTGCAGTGATTACATGCAGAAAAAATTGAATTAATTTTCCAGGTAGTATTTTCTGAGGTAGGATCAAAGGGTTGTGCAAATCAGGATGTATTACTTCTGCTTTGCTGCTTTGTTCCTTTATTTAGTATATACCCCCTTAACGTGTACACAGCTTGTGCTTCTACACAAAATCCAAGGGCATAGTGACCTTAAAGTAAGGGCCATAGTGTTCTGTCAAGAATAATAAATTATTGATGCTTTTCACCTGATTACAGGGTAAGGATAAGGATAGTGAGATTTAGACTTTTACTAGAAACTCAGCCCTTTTAATACAAAAGTCTAGCATCAGTAATGCCTGATTGTCAGTATGATTCTGTATACCTAGTGAAAAGACTATTAGAGAATTATGTAGTAAGGAGAAAATCACAATATATTTGATGATGAGACAAAGTAGATTTTATTTTTTCATGTTTTCTAGGTACATGTAGTACACAAACACTATACCCATGCTATTCATAGTATTTGAGGGCAAAGGAACAATGAGTACTAAGAAACTGCTTGAGTAGTTGGCTATCTTAAAATGAATTGATGAAACTTCTACAAAGAAAATGTGAGCTGCCTAAATAAGCTCAGACAAGTTTCACTATTAAGATGAATAGTTGCCAGAGTGGATTAGTATTCTTTACACATTATAGGACTAGGTGGAGACATTTGTTTATCTTACAGCAAGAACTTACCTGGATACTTTGTAAACAGCAAATTAAAAATGAAGTTGTCAAATCTGTGTTGTTTTCCTTATGTCCTTAAGACTTTTTATTAATTTGTTATGGTGTCCTTGTGGTAGATGGGAAAGTTTACTGTGAGTTATTAATAGTCACCTCTCCAATAGATAGGTAACAAGTGGAGTTGCTTTACTGCTGGCTGTTAAGCAACATAATTAGAAATAAACACATAAGCAATTCTGCAAACCAGTCTGCCATTAATTCTGATCCGTTTAGTCACTTGGAAACATGGGTACTTATTAACTACCAACATTTCCATGTGATAAGCACTCTGTTTGGTTTCTTTCTTTGCTTGTTCTCTGAACTGTAAAAGTATCTGAAGCCATTATTTCAGAAAATACCTGAAATCATAATTTATGAACTATTAAATGCATTGTTCATTCTGTTTTCCTTCATAGCTAAACAATAGTTAGTGGGAAATTCCCAGCATGTTTAGGACTATGTGTAGGTTTGTTGTGATTGAAATTGGCTCTAGGTCTTCTGTCATAATAAATTGTCTCTTCTTTTGAGTTGGGTGTTTGGGGTTTTTTTGGTTCAGTTGTAACATAAGATGTATCTTTTTGTTTAGTTCTTTACTAAGTTCTTTACTACTTCTCTAATGACAGATATTTTTATTCTGATCACAAGTGGTAAAATGAGCGTAAGATTGTTGGGGCTGTTGATACTAAACTAATTAAACCCACAGTGGAGTTAGTGGGAGCATGACCCCTGATTTCATTGCATGATGAGTATTCCTGAAGATCCATCACTCATATTTATACTATAGTTAAAGTCTGTTTCTTGAAATTTGGTTTAGCATGCTCCTTTCTGATTTTAAATACGGTTTTAATTTGAAGTTTTACTCTTTTTTGTACAACTTTTTTTTGTATGTGCAATGCATAAACATGCATATTTATGATGGGATAAAGCAAAATTATTTTTTAAAGTAGATTTTGCCTTTTTAGATTGTGTTTGTCTTATCAAGCCTGTCTGGTTCAAAAACAAGAGGATTGATTCTGTCTCCAGTTATGCTAGTGTACATCAAAAATTATTAAGTAATAGCATTTGTTCCTGTTTAAAATACTTAGAAATTATATCAGAAATCTTTCCATGTTTGACTTTTGAATCTTGCTTGAAGTTATACTACCTGTGTACTAATGAATGTTTTGAGAAGGTCAGTTTTATTCTCTGAAGTGTACAACCTAGGTCTTCCTAGGTCAAGACATGGGATTTGATATCTTTGATATCTTATATGATATGGGAGTACATGGAGAAAATGAAATAGACATGTTCTTAAGCAAATCCATTTCTGTCAAACCTTTCTGATTTGGAAGACAGGGACTTTCAAAGGAGAAAATTAATAGATGAGTCTGACTATGCTAGTATCTCTCCATTCCTTTCATAAATAGTTGGGAATGGATTCGGAGTGTGCCAAAGTTTAAGTGTGTTCCATACCATTAAGAGATGGAAAAGTATTTCCTTTCCTTTAGAATCTGATAAATTTCCTTGTCTAATCGTGTACTTGTAAATAAAAGTACACTTCTTCAAAGTAAAGTTTGATATACATACTAGAAAGTTGGTTTTAATTAAGCCAATTAGATGCATACAGTTATGCTTCTATTGCATTTGACCTTCTGTATTTTTTAGAGTAATTTTTGCACATTGCCGTTAAGTATTTCCTTTCCTTTAGAATCTGATAAATTTCCTTGTCTAATCGTGTACTTGTAAATAAAAGTACACTTCTTCAAAGTAAAGTTTGATATACATACTAGAAAGTTGGTTTTAATTAAGCCAATTAGATGCATACAGTTATGCTTCTATTGCATTTGACCTTCTGTATTTTTTAGAGTAATTTTTGCACATTGCCGTTTTGTAATGCCGTTGTGGTTCAGCTTTTCAGCAGTTTGAATGGCATGGATTTTCCTTTCATCCAGTGAAATTTGGTGCATCTCTTTTCCTCCTGTTCTTAAAATATGCAGCACCTCCACAAGTACAATTATCCATGTGATTTTTGTGGGATTTCCTTTCAAGAAAAACAGTCTCCTGCCTTATATTCTTTAAGGTTGAATAAGGTCGAAACATGTAAACTTCTTGGTTTTGTTTTCCTTTGTTAGTAGAATGATTTACTCTTTTTTTTTTTGATTGCCTGCATCTCTCTTACTGTCCCACCATCATCTAAATCAGACCATAAGTATTAGTGTCTTTATTTTTATCCCTTTTTTTCCAAGCCGTACTTGTTTGGCAGAACTAATGATCTAGCAGGGGTTTTTTCAACTTTGCGTGAATCAGTATTTAAAGCAAATGTGTTCCATGCAGCCACGTCTACATGGATTTACCTTTTTATTGAAACTTGTAATCTGGTAATACATTACTGAGGGTTATTGCCTTTGAACCTCTGAAGGTTTGATTTTCTGTGTCTATAGGGTACACTGCCAGACTGTTTCCATGAAAGAAATTTGAAGATTTGCTACCTAGATCTCTGTATTTTTCCATAGCCATACCACATGTGGTATCTGTGCTTATTTTGGGAAGGCAGTTCAGCTATTTGGTTTGGGTTTTTTTTAGTTAGTGTTGTTCATACCACTGCAGTATAGAAACAAGAATTGCAAATACTGAGAAAGGGAAATTAATCTTTAGAAACTGAAGTGTTTTGTGAGTGTTGTCATGTCATTTTACAGTATTCATTCCCCTTTCACTCATCCCCTGACAGCCAAAACAGGATTCAGCTGTGAGACCAAAATGCATTTATGGAACTGGAGGAAAGGAATTTCTGTGTGTAGTAATTAATTACTAGCATTTTTGTTTCTGAATATTAGGGAGTAAAAGAAACAGTATCCTTAATTGACATTAAATAGCAACTGAATTGAGAGCCAGCTGGCTCAGCTGTTGGCATATGACGGAACAGTGGGAACTTAACCAGAAAACACTTTATGAGGTTACTGTAACCTAGAATTCATGGCAATAATTTTAATGGGTGGGTGCATTTCATCTCTTAGTGAAGGGAGGAGGATATGGAGGGAGAAGCTCTTAAGAATTTCTGTGATTATTTCTCAATTATATACATAGTCAAAAAGTAGAAGAGTTATTCTGAAGATGGTTTGAGTTTCTTTGTATAGATTAAAAGTGTAATCCAGCACTACTGGAAAATATTCATGTTTCTGCTTAATTCTTTTTAACAGATCAACAATGTTCTTTTTCAGGTCGAAAATTGAAAAAGTTTAACAAAATTAAGGTTGTGAGAACATTAGATGTTGCACTCCAGCAGCCAGCAACCCTTCAAGATGAAAACCAGTCTCTAACCCAAAGGCTGTCCTTTTCTCCAAATCAAGAAATACAGTTTGTGCCCCCGATGATAAGTGTTTTACGAGGCATTGAGCCAGAAGTTGTCTATGCTGGTTATGACAACACAAAACCTGAAACACCAAGTTCTTTGCTGACCAGTCTAAATCATCTTTGTGAGAGGCAACTTCTTTGTGTAGTCAAGTGGTCTAAATTGCTACCAGGTAATATCACTTCTTATATGTAGTGAATTGTAGTGAAGCAAATATTTCATGGGATGAGCAGTCCAAACAGAATTTTATTGTCTGTCTGTTAATTAATACTTAACAAATTCCAAAATTATTACGCTTCCACTTGATAAGATAATATAACTAATCAACTACATTTTAATTGAGGGGGCACATTTGAAGGAACCATCTAAATATTTAGACTCACTCCAAGAAACAGCAGAAACCCAGAGTTCCTGGATGTGGTCATTATAGCAGCCTTTGCACTCCAACACCTCCTACTCTATTATTCATTCATTTGGTATAAAATAAAATTATATTTCTGCATGTTCTTTATTCTTCTTCTTACTAAAATGAATTTTTGAAAGCAACAAAGAAATATTTGAATAAATAGTACCAATTAGGACTAAGCAGCTCACAAATAGACTGGGAATGAGAATTAACTGAATTTAAGAAATCCATGACCAGATTAAAAAATAAATTTCCATGTCATGTATGTACATGTGCTGTATGGTCATAGAGGCCTGATCCTGGGATATATAGAGATCAGTATACTGAGCATACAGTTTCATGTGAGCTCAATTTGACACTTCACTGCTGCAGAAAAGAGTAGTCTCCCATTGCGGTTTGCGCTTATCAGACCTCTTGGATGAACTGATTAATCTCACTAAGTGAGAAGGAAAGAAACCTTTTTCTTTTTTTTAGCCTCTGTAGTTTTCTGATATCTTCATGAACCAGTTCACTGAGGGGTAGCGTAAATGCCAGAGCTTGCTTGAAGGAGGTAACATGACCAAGTGGTGAAGATCAGGAGCGCTGCTTTCAGTGGCAGGAATCTGCTAGTTTGATTCAGATAGTTCATGGCAATCTTGAAAGTTATCAAACAGCAAAAGTTATCAAAGGCAAGCAAACAGCTGAATATGGACGTTAATTGTATGACAATTGTATGTCATGTTAAGAACACTGAAGTCCAAGCTATTTATATTCAATAAGAGTTGGTTTCAATGATCATGTTACAAACAGTCATATTTTTAAAAAAAAAAAAAAAAAGAAGAGATGCATTCCTCTTCCCCAAAACAGTCATTTTTGCCAAAGTTAATTTTGTTTTGAACATTTCAAAACACTGGATCAGAACAGAAAGACAAGAGGTTAACTGTTAAAGTGAGATAGCCAGTTCTTACCCAAACTCCTGAGAGCTATATCCCCAAAAGCACTTGTCTTTCTGGATGTTCTCAGTTTAACAGCTCAAATTTGTAATCTCAAAGCACCTATTAACTGCTGTCTAAATGAGAATTCTAAACTATTTAACTTTTAATTTCATTTCCAGGATTTCGGAATTTACATATCGATGATCAGATAACCCTCATCCAATATTCCTGGATGAGTCTAATGGTTTTTGCAATGGGATGGAGATCATATAAACATGTCAGTGGTCAGATGTTATATTTTGCACCAGATCTGATTCTAAATGAGTAAGTAGACTCTGCTGTTGCATTATATGAATAACATTTTGAAATAATATATGTCAATGAGAATGTGACTTCATTGAGGCAATATTGCACTCATTACTTGTCCTGTTTCAGAATTAACAATGGAGGAAAGTCTTTTGATCATAGCAAAGTTCATGAACTTTGGGAAGGGTTTTGTAGGAACCCCAACTATTCACTAACTAGCACACTAAATCATTGCTGCAACTCTTTATTGGGAAATAACTTAGCTTTTAGATCGGTAAAATATAATCAACTTTTTTGTCTGTGATGATGTCTAAGATGTACTTTAATGATCGCTTTAAGCAAAGGTAATTGCTGAACACTGCCAAAAAATTAACTGCCCTGACTATGCATCCCCATGATTTCAGTTAAGTTGTATAAAACACTATCTGATTGCACTGTCAAACAGATAAGGAATTTATATGTCTGAGAAGTACCCCAGAAAAAAGGGGTGGAGGTGATCCCTGATCTGACTCACCACATAGTACAGGTATTAATGCCAGAACTGCAGGAGTGTGTGCCTAGAGGTAGTAGGAGATAATGGAAATTCCATCTACAGGAGCAACACATACCTGAGTTGTTTCAAAATGACCATGAAACCACAATCCAAAGATTGTTTCACAGCCAATCTATCATTTCGTGAACTGTGGTGTTGTGCTTCTCAGGAAGGAGTAGTTTGGTAGTTAGTCATTTCAGACTAAGAAAGCCAGGACTGTTAGTTTGACAAAGATTTTATAACTTAGTTTTAACACCTTGCAAGGATTTACTGTTACTTATACTTTGCAGTGTCTGAAAAGATGAGTAAGAACAGCATTTAAATATACCCTAAAAGCTACTCTCAGTCTTCATAGATAATAATTAGGAAGAGATACTACCAGAAAGGAACAGGAAGGGAGATTTAAAGTAGATGTATGTATAATGAGGCCATTCAGGTCTAAAATATTAAACTTCTATGTTTACATCATTTTAGAACTGGTGTGAGATATCACATGTTCCACAATGTTGAAATAATTTTCATTCAAGATAAATGTAACAATTTAAATAAGAAAAAGCTCAATGCGTTGAGAAGTTGTTTATTCATGGAAAATATCTTCTGTTTTCATTGTTGAAGGTACTATCTGCAGTCAGTTTGGAATGCTGGTCTGAACTTCGTAGGGGCTGAAGGAACAAAATTTAATCTTCTTGTACCTAATTCATCAGGATCAGGATGCAACTATGTAAAATCAGTCCTAGTTACTGGATTGTCAGGTTAATGTGCAGTGGATTCAATGCTAATGTTGCAATCATTTCAGTTGTAAACTGCCTTCCTAATAAATATATGCAATAATTTATTATTCGTATACCAAAGTCACAAGAGAAAAGTAATATCAAAGTTTTTTTAAAAAAATCCTAAATAGTTTTGTGTATTTCCTGTGTGATTTGTACTAGTTACTTCCGTGGGAGTTTAGATAAGGCTGCATTAATGTCTTTGTTTACTTAACATGTAACATTTTTAACTGTTTAATGGCGTAAAATGTTAAAAATAGTAGAATTGCTATTAGTAGTACAGTGTGGGACTTGCTACAAGGTATCTTGATGCAGAGATTTTTGCGAAAGCATCAAGGTACTTACGTTTTCTATAAACTCAGGTTTATCTTCAGTTTTATGCTTTGAAATGTCTTCAGAGAATGCAAAAATTTATTGACCTCTAAAATAAAATAGTACCTCACATTAATCACGAGGGTATTTTTAAGTAATAAAAAAACCCTTATTTGTGATGGTTAGCATTCAGCTTTGGTGGTCTCCAAGTTGCTTTTTTTCTGGACAGCAGTAACAGGTCAAACATCCAAAATAATAACACATTGATTACAATTGAAAAACTAGCATAGGTGCAAAAATTCAGAAAATTGTTTAAGTGTATAACCTCTTCTTCAATTTCTGCAATGTGATAATTAAACTGCTGACAAGGCATCTCTTTCAAACAGTTAGTACTGGACCCATTCTGTTTCCTTATTTTCATGTTTTTTAAATTTTTTTTTTTTACCTTTTCTGGGTGTAAGACAGAGGATGAAAGAATCATCATTCTATTCCCTGTGTCTATCCATGTGGCAACTCCCACAGGAATTTGTCAGACTTCAAGTTAGCCAAGAAGAGTTCCTATGTATGAAAGCACTGTTACTTCTCAACACAAGTAGGTTCTTTTATTTCTTTGTAAGATATCACTACTAAAAGAGATTTGAACCATGTTGTTTAACTTAACAATCACTAAGCTGTCTGGCTTAACAAATGGAAACTTCTTTAGGAAGAATGTTAGTATTCCAAGACCTAAAAATATTTTTTAAGCATTTATAAAGAAGAAATAGTTTGTGATTCATTGTTGGTTTTATTCTCTGTATAGGCACTGGGGAAATGTTGGATCCCTTTTGACATGTGACTATACTGTACTACAAATTTTTAAAACAAGTGTGTAGTATTTCTGCCCAGAAACATTGGTTTAAATGACTCTACACAGATAAAAACCTCAAAACCAAAACAATCTTACAAGTAGTAGAAATATATTTTAAAATATTTAATAAATTGTCAGGACCGAGGGCTTTATCTTGGCCAAGATCTTAAAGCAGGTTTACTCAATAGAAATAGGGAAGTGGACATGGCAAACAATACTAACATTTATTCACCTTTTTATGTTATAAATAGGTGAAGTTTAGCACAGATATAAACAAATGGTTTTTCCTTAGTTTGTTTCCCTGGAACAAAATCCGTGGTCACGTTTAATCATACGCATCTTATAAAAAATCCAGCATACAGCTACATTCCTCTTTACATAGGAAATGTTGTAATTGATGAAGTTAAATTCCTAAACCTTTTCTGAAATACTAAAATGTACATCTCCTGAGGCCTTAGTTGTTAGCTATGAGTCTCCAAAAAGAAAGTTTTAAAATTATGCAGGTGCTATTAGAAATGAAACTAAGCTCTTTTGAGAAATATAATTGAAAGAATGTAGAAGTTTGGTTCTCAACCCACTTAGGGAGTCAGAGAACACGTGCAAATCTTCATGGCCTGCTTGTTGGTTGCACAAAGTTTAAGTAAAAGATATGGAATTAAAATTCATTCCCTCTTAAGCTGTACTTGGCTGGTATTTGCCTAAGCTCATGCTTGAAAAAACCAACTTGGTCTTAGCAGAGCATAAGATTTAAAAGGTTACATTTAGCTCATATGAACATAGAAATTACTAAAATAATAGCAAAATACATACTCTTTGCTAAAGCAATAATGGTAATGTGAATAAAAAACTCTGTCTTGTTACCTGAACAAATTTCTATTGAAAATGTTTTCCTATTTTAAATGTTTTCCACCAAAGAAGTCCAAATGAACTCTTTTGTCTGTTATCTGAACCTGAGAGGGAAGTTTTAAATTTCAGTGAAATTTAGATACATTTGTGATATTCTAACTATCCATTTCTCTTCCAGAAAGTTCAAATCAAATTCAAAAAAGTGTTACAAGGGTTGGTCCAATATCTCTCATTTACGTCTGCATCAATTTAACAGCATTCACCAAACTGCCATTCTTCATCAACTTCGTTGTACTCAGAAATTAATTTTTAAGATGATAGGTTTATGTATATGCAAAAAATTAGTTTAAAGAAAAGAAACAAAGTATTTCTATCTGTGATGATGAGTTTTGCTTTTTGTTCTCTCTTGCACTTACTGTCTTATAGGAAAAAGCAATTTGTCAGATCTTTGGGAAAAGGAACACACCTAACTGAGTTGCTGAGACATTTAGTAAGCGTTTGGTACTGTATAAATATAATTCCACAGAAATATTTGCAAAAAGCCATGTAGCCTCATTGTTGCTCTAAAGAGTTTTTTTTAAGACTACTTTTATTTTAGTCATGGTATTCATCTTAATCCTATTAAAATATGGAAGTATGGCCATTTCAAGCTTTCATATACTAACAGTAAATCAAGTCTAAACTTTTAGTCTCTCATTCTGTCTTATGTTCCATTTATTATTTAGATGAACTGGTTTTTACTTTTTATATCATGTCAAAGAGACAATAATTTGTGTTAAAGTAATTAAATGTCAGTCTTGATATATTTCTAATTCTGAATGGACTCCCCAGCCTAAGTTTTAACATTTTTTTTTTGATTTTACAGGTTTCCCTTTGAGTTTGCTGTGGCTTAAATGCTTTTGTTATAATGTGCTTGTGACAGTTTTAAAGCTGTCTTGAAAGCAGAATTAGTCTTCACAAAAAGTGGACAAACTTTTTTTTTCTGCAATTGTTTCCATTTTATAGATCCTTCTTTACTATATGTAACACTCTGTGTTGTGGTAGTGTCCCATAAGTTCTAGATAGGGCTCCATCTTGCAGAGGCCACATACATCTTTGAATTAATTCTATGGGCAGGTCAGCGAGCCTATGCTTTAACGAAGTAGAGCTATGCTAAAAGAAGAGGGAAGTAAGTTCCGTTCTAGCCATAGGAAGTTCAGTTTTAGTTCTAACAGTGTCCAGCCTTTTGATTTAAAGTAATTTCAAAATCTTGTTACATAAGACTTTGTCTTGGTTCTTGCCACTGAATAAAAGCATCCTCATTCTTTACCATATCTCAGGGGAAGGGAACATTTGAGCTGCCTAAGTTGCATTTGTCCATGTAAGATATTGTAATTCTTCACTCAAATATATAGCTTAGAGGGATTTTTTGTGATGAGATGGGAGTATGACTGTGGTTTTGCACATTTTTTTCAGATATATTTTAAGTTACTTCAGAAGGGAAATATAAAGACTTAATTTCTGTTTTAGAGATGTAAGTCAGGGATAGCATCCACCTAACTCTAAATTCCATCAGATTATTACTTTATATGAAAAAGATTTTCTATCTGTCTGTAAAACTGCTGTTAAGACATACCCAAACCATCCAGGCTTTGAAAATTAAGCTATTCTTTTTCCATCACATAACTTTTCCCCACTGTGAGTATTCATGCCTGTATTTCTCCTAAGCACATTGCATTCTCCACAAACCATAAAGCATCCCTTCCATTTGGACCCTTGACCTAAATGTGATAGGCACACTTTCAGATACCTCCTTTATCAGTCTGGACTTGAGAGGTCATACCAAGTCAACCCAAAAGCCCACCTCATCCAGCATTTTATCTCCAACAGCTTCCGGGTAGTGACAGTATGTGGAAGTACCTGTTTGGGTATGGTGCTTGCTGCAGAAGTAGCCACAATTTCTACTCTCTATTTTTATTTTTGTTTAAATTCTGTTTCAGTTAAGAGCCAGACCCTGTCTTCCATAGCCCAGTTCAGTGCTTAGACACTTGTCTTTAAAGGAAACTTGCTATTTTCTGTCTGTGTCTCCCTCCTTCCCCCAGACATTCAGTTGCCTGAGGAGACACTGCGTGAGAGACAACCTCGATAAATGGGATCATTTCCTCTCTTGGGCATGAAATATGAGACTTCTGCTTAAGTCAGGTAGAATAGAGATTTGAACTTCTGCCCTGTTGTCTCTCTCTGGGCTCAAGATGAGAGAATTTAAATTTCAATATGTTTGTCTGAAATGCCTCTCCTTACATTTTTCTGAGGAACCAGACATGACTTAGGCAACAGATTTCAGAACAGCATTTCTGATTTCCGAATGTAGAGCAGTGTTGCTCTCAGTGCAGGGTTTACTACCTATTTCTCTTTCAGGGAACGGATTTAGGTTGACCCCTGTGCAGTTGTCTTCCTTTTGGGTGGCTTCTCTTTTAAGAATTCCACTGTGAGGTATCTAACAATGTGGTGCATTGTACAGAGAACCAGTACACATATTTGTTTATGTTTTAATTCCAGACAGTGACAAATCATCTGAAAGTTAGGTGTCACCATATTGAATAAGTCAATGTCATTATGAACTAAGCTTAATTTCTTTTTTTTTTTTAAAAGAGATTCAAATGAAGTCTGTTGTGGCCTCATATTAGTCACGGTCTGATACCAGATTGAAGATGTACTAGATATCTAGATAACCATCAGGCAATTTATTTAGCAATGCAAGCTAGTCCCCATGACATTCTTTTAGAGTCTGTAGAGGAAAATAAGCATAATTCATTTCTTTTTGAGCATGCTTCTAAAACAGTGGACATTCCTTGTGCCCAAGACTTGCCTAATTGTTCCCACTAAAACTACAATAAGTTGTGGTAATTAACATAAATGAAGATGCCTGTACTGCAAAATGCCTAAAGTTTGGTGAGGTGAATCCTTCCTCTCATGGTTGTTGTCAGAATACAAAATATTGACTGTAGTGTTGCAGTATGAAATGTTATTGGCAAGAGAGAAAGGAAAGCAGAAGAAACAGCTCTTTCAAAAGCAGTCTGAAACAAGACCATGTTTTAATGTGTGATTGTTGTATGAAGCAAGGATTTAGATTAGATTGCCAGATGAGAATAATTTTTTTAGTTTCAGTTCCTCAAGTTTTTAATTTCTTAGTTGCATTTGACAACAAAAACGATAAGACTTGTCCATTACTCTCTGCCATGTCAAGAAATGTAGAGTGTTTTCTTAAAATTCTAAAAACTTATCAGTGATCAAATATGCTGTTATCACTAGCATTCACTAAGAGGTTCATTTCTCAATGTTCTCTCTGTGTCCTCATTTTTGTTCTCACAGCTGACCATTAAGAGAAGAGGGAGTTCAACCATTTTTCTCTTCCTTGCTAATTTTTCGATAAAACTGTTCACATTTAAGACTCTGATAGTATATCTGTTCTGTTAAGTGAAAGAGGTTCAAACAGGAGGCCTGAGCCCTGAATGCTTTACTGTCTACACTGCTTAATAGTTGTTGGTTCATTCCTTCACTCCATGTTGGAGAACTCCAGCTAGTTCTCTCTACCATAAATTTGCAGTGTAAACATGAATCAGGCCATAACATATTTCCACAAAACCAGGAGTGGTTCTTTTGGCTGTCTTTTTGTTTCAATACACATGTTGCTGAAGCTGAGGAATATTTTTAGACATAGGCAATTATCAGAATGGACTGATTATTGCCAGTGTATACTTTTTACTAATTGTATCACTGTTTCTGGAGTAACTTTTAAATGGGAAGAAGCACCTGGTATATAATGATGAATTGCACTGTACAGCATGAAGTACTACAAATTTTCCCCATACTTTACATTTCTTTCATTGCCTCCAGAGTAAATTGTAACGTAACTGTTACTTTTCTTTTAGTTCCTTTGGAAGGTCTAAGAAGTCAAAGCCAATTTGATGAGATGAGAACGAGTTACATTAGAGAACTGGTGAAAGCAATTGGTTTGCGCCAGAAAGGTGTTGTGGCCAACTCACAGCGTTTCTATCAGCTTACAAAACTGATGGATTCCATGCATGATGTAAGTTTATTTGTTAATGTGCTTTGCTTTTTATGTAAGAAGGAACTAGTATTTTTTAAAAGTAATTTTATGGTAAGCAAATAGTCAATATTTCTGCACAACAGAAGAAAAATCCCTACATTTTTCCTTTACTGTGTGTATTTGTGTGAATAGATAGCTATATATTCAGCATATA